AATGACTTCCAATTCAGCTATCATTTTGCCATCTTGTTCTTGTTATCTTTGAATGGACTCTCGAGGTTAGTAACTTTTTTTCTCGTCTTGCCCCTGCCACCTTTGTCAACCATAGCCGGACCCCTGCGTTTTTCACCTCTTGTATTACAACCCCTTTTTCCATTAATGCGAATTATTTATGTTTTAACAAACACATTTTTGATGGATCAACACCTCTTTCGAATGATGCAAATGATAAAAAAAATGCCAAAGAGCAAAAATGAAAGGAAAAAGTTAGTGAGATAAGGATAATAATAATAAAAAAATGATGAAAATGAAAAGTCCTACCCCTCATGATATACCCCACATGCTTATTATTCCTACCTGGACATGATCTCTATCCCACATGCTAATTTCAAACAAATCCTAACCGCATATTTGTTTAGTTCGCATGCTTTGAACAAAAAATAAAGCAGGAAACAAAGCAGCCCAGGGTTTGGAATGAAATTTTGGGGTGGGCTCTAATTCTCCATAGTTTCCCGGTTTAGGTTCTAAAAACGGTACCCGAGTTCTCCTTGCTGGTGCCCCCTTGGGCTTGCCAGACCCTTAGTCCTAAACCCTTCACAGGCTTGTGTGGACTAAGTTAAACTCGATAGGACACATTCACTTATGTCTATGTGGAGAATAAATTCACACGCAGACATAAGATATATGAATCCCGAAAGCTACTTGCTAGGCCTATGCGGTGAATAAATTCACACGAAGGCGTCGCTTTCACCCCCACTTAAATAGGGTTCGGAGCTCATGTATAGAGCCTTAAGTGAAAAACAAGCTTTGAAGGCTGAAATCATTAGAAAACCATTAGTACAACTATTTACTCAAAAATAATCAAAGGTAAATAATTGAAATCGAAAAAATAAATTAAAATTAAAATTTACCATTTTCACATAAAAAGACAACCAAAAATTAATTATGGCCTGACTCACTTACCTGTCCCCAAAGGAGTCGCCAAGCTGTCATAACCGTCTTTCGGTTGGGCCCCAGAATTGGGTTTCGACTTGAAAAATGTGGATTGGAATCGCCACCGACCACTTTAAAATGAATTTAGGTGGGTCAGACACCATCTTACATGATCTGCGTTGTACCAGAAACGTGTCGGGTTCGGGAGTCAGTTACAGCCAAGGAAGGATTAGCACCCTTGAACCGCCCTTTCGGTACCAATTAATTTATCGGTTGTCTTTATTTGCGAAAATTAAAATTTAAAAGCATTCGATTCGAATTGTTTACTTTTGATAGATTTGAATACCCTTAAAAGATAAAAACGTTAGATTCGTAGCGAAGTATAAAATCGAATTAGGATAGCAAGTGTGCAAACGTGAGAATATTAAATAAAACAAGAAAAATGGAAAATAACAAAACACGTAAAAAAATAAACAAAATGAATAAAATGTTAAAAAACAAAGATACAGATAAAGGGAAAAATTAATGGAGTAAAAAGAAAAATAAAAAAGGGTAAAAGAAATTAAAAGGAATAAAAATAATGTGTACATATAAAGTAGTATTTAATAAAACAAATAAAAATAATAAATATATAATACTAAGTAAAACAAAAAAAATAAAGATATACATGATATTAAAAAAATAATAGAAAAAATAAAATAAAGTAAAAATATAATATATATATATATATATAAATAAATAAAAACAAAAATAGAATATTAAGAATATATATATATAAACGTATAAAATATAATATTAAGAAGAAATATATATACATAGTAAATGGAGAAAAATTAATACATCTATACATATATATATATATATATATATATATAAGATATATATAATAAAAATAATATAATATAAATAAATAAATAAAAAACAAAGGAATATAGTAAATAAATAAAAATAATAATTAAATATATATATATATATGGGACGAAATTAATAAAAAGTAAAATTAAAGGGTAAATTTCAAGGTAAATTAAAGATTAAAATTGACTTAGGGGGAATATTAAATACTTTAAAAAATGAACATGCCTCGGGAGTAGATCTAGGTTCGAAACTTCGAAACCCCACCCCTTTTTGGTCATTGGCGCGACCCACGCTTTGGGTTATTCGAACCAAATCTCAAGAAAAATAACATGCACATGCTAGAAATGAACGAATCAAGGTAAAAAAAGATGCTACATTTTATTTTCTTTTTGAATCGTTTACAATAGCTTTGCCTTTGTATTTTTCATGCTTTCCTCTGTATTTTTCGTGCTTTCCTCTGTATTTTGTGTGTAAATCGTGTCTTACAAATGGGGAGGATTACATGTATTTATAGTGAAAAAAAACTAACAATAGAATCCTAATGCAACTAGACTCCTTGCTCGGTTGTTGCACGTTTGTTGGTGTGGTTGTTGCTTTAAAAGATATGGTGGTGGAAGAGTCATCTTAGGAGAGGAACTCTTGCTAGTTCTATCTTTTAAAAAAATGGTGTCTACAGTTTTATATTAGATTTGAGGGCGACTTGTGATAAACCAACCTCAGAGTTTTCGATCGAAAACCTTCCAATTTGTTTTATGTTACATTTTACAATGTTTTATTTAAGCTATATTACTTAAGTTATATTTTGATGTTTATGTGTACATGATTATGAAATGTGACATGTGAATATGTGTATACGAAAATACTCTATGTGAAAGTGCTTATGTGAACAAGATACACTTCGAGTAATGAATGATAAATAAGTATGTGGTTAACACCTAAGGTATATGTATTAGGATTAGAGGTATAGTTGGTATGCTAAGAGTCGAGGGTTCTATGTGGTCATTCGGGATAAATATGTGGCACTTCGGTGCAAATTATGTGAGATGTGGTGACAGTATTAGTGCGCAACCTCAATGTACTCAAATACCTAGAGTTATCAGTAATATACATTGGGCCTTTGAAAACAAAGTTATATTAATCGAACAATGTATAAAAGTATACATTCTTGTTATGAAAAACAATGTAAATCCCTTATGAAATGTTTCTATGAAATGAATAAAGATTTCGCTTATAAATTTTTTTATTTTGGTTCGTACTTGCCTCACTAAGTCAACGACTTAGCGTGTGATTGTTTCACAGTAGGTTTGAAGAAATCAAATGTTGAAGATAGTCGAGGATATCATACTCTCGCAAAGATCAGATCCGAACAATTTAAATGTGAGTTCTTGTTATTTTGTAAATAGTTGACATGTACTACAAGTTTAAATTGAAATGATCTGATCTATTTTGTAAACTTATATTTTTGTATTTTTGTAAATTATTAAAGGTTATTAAGATATGAATGTGATTTTTTATTATTTACTTTAATTTAAGGGTTCCACCATTTTATTACAAATAAAAACTTAAATTTTCCCTATTTTTTAGAGTAAATGTTTTGAAAAGTCAATGTGACATATTGGATTCGTATCTGGGTCGAGTACAGGTTAGGGTGTTACAATGCCCAATTGATTTCTAGAACCAAACATGTTTGTATCGCATCTAGGGGTGTGCAAATCTGGTTGGGTACACGATTACCGGGTACCCGCAACATCTGGGTCAGTGATTTCTCGGCCCGTGTCTCGACCTGGATGTTGTCGGGTACCCGGTACCCGTTTTTTTCATTTTCAAATTATTAATTTTAAAAAAAATACATAAATTTAAATGTTCGAAACTTCGAATTACATACTCCAACATCCGAACATAAAATTTAAAAGTTCGAAATACAAAATCTAATAATCCATCATATAAATGATCCATTATATTATATATATATATATAATAAAAAATAAAAAACTAACCGGGTACCCGGGAAAACTCAATTTTGTGACCCGGACCCGACCGGGAAATGTCGGGCAGGGTACCCGGCCCAGTCGAGTAATTTTTTTAGAAAATTAAGAGTTAGTTTGATTAATACATTAGTTTAATAAATGCACTAGTTTGATTAATAAACTAACTTTATTAATTAACTAAATGCATGAATGTAGTAGTTTATTAAATGACTAGATATGAACTACTTCCCTAAATGAAATACATGCTTAAATGCAATGCATGTTTTAATGAACAACATACTTATTAAATGCAATGAATGTCATGCAACTAATAAAACTCATACAAATTCATGCAATGAATGATATTATATGATAAACATATCCTAAGAGGTAAATACAAACATATGATAAAATATAGTGCATAAATGAACATATATAGGATGAAGTAAGGTAGAACTTCATTTGAATCACCCTTAGTGAACTTCATTTGAATCACCATTATGAACTTCAATAATTTAATAAGATCAAGAAGAAAGTTACCGCTGATTGAGATCACATCATAATTTCTTCGAAATAAAGTGTCTCCGATTTGGAAACATGTTTGAATGAGGGCAACGGTTCCACGGTGGTCATCGGAGGGAGGTGTGGTAAACCATCACGGGGACTCGGTAATTGGCCTGATCCGAATGCACCGGGTCCGTTTACAAATGCATACGGTATGTCCGATTTGGAACGCTTCCGCTACCCTCCTTTCCTAAAATTCTTGAACATTTTGGATCAAAAACAAATCAAAGGATCCGATTGGTTAATCGATATAGAGATTAGTAATTGGATGATGGTGATTTTTGAGTTTTCAGTGGAATTGCTTGCACGGAATCATTCTTCGTTCATGGATTGAAAGTCTGTTAAAAATCATCCGATCAACTAATCAAACAACGGTGACGGTGACAGTTTAACGATCATTTCAACTTACCGTACAAGGACGGTGACGGTGACGTCTTTTCTACACGTTTGCTTAGAGCTAAGAATCGGCAAAATCCGGAGCCCACGAACGGGAATTCCACGTGGAAGTGAAAAGGGCAACCTATAACTTAAAATTTTCGAAGAAGTACCGAGTAAACTAACCCACTTTTATTATACAACAAATAAATATAAAATCCAATGAATAAATAAGTTGTACGTTTATTGAAAATGGCAACTAAAAACAACACACTCAAAAACCAAATGATATCCATTTCTCTTCTTCTTTTATATATTTTCCCCAGGCTGTTATTTAAGTTCATCATAGAAGCTAGTTCCAACACTCTGGTGTCAAGCCATGGTTCCTCTTGGGGTCCTTGCAGTAGTCATAAACCATATGGTATCTTTGAACCCATCTCATTGCTCTATATTGTTGTCCGGTTAGCCCGCCGGACCGAAACGAGGATACCGATATCGGCCTACACCGAGGTGAAGAGTAAGCCGAGCAACCGCCGGCTTTGAAACCGGTGAACTTTGCAACAAAGGGTTGGTAATTGTAATCAGCCTTGTATTTGCCGTCTTCAGTTGCCCATGAAGAGGCATCCCATATCGAACCATATACCCACATTGGCCTCAGAGGAAATGTTTCCGCGCTCTTCCTTGGGTATCTTCTTATGGGCACATCATCCACTAGGAATCTAATCCACAAATAATCATCATTTCTTTTTTAATATTACCTTTTTATACAAATAATACCGAAACCAAAATCTGATTTTAGAAAAATTATCCACCCATTGTGAGAGAAAAAAAACCTCCATCATTAAAGAGTTAGTAGAAACTTACATGATCTCTTTGGGACTCCAAAAAATGGCGTAGTGATGGAAGTTTTGAGTTGGATCGAACCAAAGATGAAATTTCATTTCCCTTCCGATGATTTTGCCATCTCCACTCCCTCTGACATACACGTTTGTTTGTAAAGTATAAGGTTTACCAAATGTTGTTCCAAGGAACTCAATGTCCACCTCATCATGAAATCCTGGATGAACTTCACTATTTGATAACTGTCATGTGTTTGATCTTTTGATTATCAGAGATCAACAAGTATATACAAAAATAATCAAGACGTAATTAAAATAAGCATAGAATGAATTCTCACGTAGAATGCTGTAATGACCCCTGCAGTATAACCCGGATGAACTTTGATAGAAGCTCCAAAATAACCCGAACGAAATGGTCGGTTTGACTTGAACCCACTTCCTAAAACACCAAAAACTCAGATTACAACAATCAAATATGTACAGTTATAGTCTAGTTCAATAGTGGTTATATAAAAATAAAGTTTTTAAATAAGAGTAAGAAGAAGAACCTGAGGTTCTATCAAGCCAGATCGTCAGTGCATTTTGATCCAAACTCTGATGGTTAAAACCCCAAAGGCTTTTAAACGCATAATGGAAGCTCATCGGCCTAAACTTAGAGCTCGGCCAGTAGTCCGGCGACGGTGGCCACTCGGCATTTGTCGAAGGAAACGAAAGAACAAGAAGAAGTAAGAGAAACAGAGCCATTAAAGCTTTGAAAGAGTGAAAGGGAAACTCAATATGAGTGGGGTAATTTCACAATGTTTCGGTGAGTATATATAAATGCCGGGGATGTGACTTATAACACGAAAAAATTTCGTATTCATATTGTTTATTTTATCGTATCATAATAGACTTTTTGTGTTCGGGTTTTTGTTTTGTGTTTTTGAATCTTCCAATTGCAAGATCTTGCGGGTCGCACAGTGATTTTCAGACAATCTTGTGAATGAAAATTTTGAGCAGGGGTGAAAATCTGAAGCCCTTAAATGGAGTGGGGCATCAGATATATTGCATGGGGACTTGTGTTTGATTTTGAGTGAGTGTCGGAAAGAGTATTATCGGTAAAATTGATGTACAAATCCTTGTATTATATTTACAATGTATTTTGATTTTTTGTATTTTTAAAAAGGCTTAAACGTCTAAAAGATGCCCAATGTAAACCTTTTTTATAGTTTAGTGCTTAACGTTTTTTCGTTTCAGTTTAGTGTCCAACGTTTCATTCCGTAATTCAGTTTGGATCTGGTTGTGACGGACAGTTAATTATGGTCGTTAAATGCCACATGGCATTTATTTAATATTAAAAAAATAAATTTTATAATTAATATAATAATAAATTAATTAAACCTCTCTCTTCCCTTTCTCTCTCTTCCCCTTCCCCCTCTTCCCCGTCACTCTGCAACATCCCTTCATGCCTCAACTTTCCCTACTGTTATTTCTTCTTTTCATACTCCAAAGCTCTCCAATTGAACCCCGAAACTTCCATAAACAATGAATCATTTTACTGCATTAACCCCGAAACCTTTTCATACACAAAACTTTGTTGGTCCGGTGATGATGCAACCACGATTATCGGAAACAAAACACGGCCATAACTGGTCGATTCGACCTTCCACACATGAGCCCGACAATGAGAATGAATTGAACGGTCAACGGTAGTGTAACACCCATAACTCGTATATGTCTCGAAATACGAATTATAGAAGTTACATTAATCTTTCAGACATTCCTTGATTATAATTGCTTAAATTTTTTTATTCCTTTTTAAAAAATTTCTATTTCAACTTAAATTTTTTCCTTATTCCTATAAAATCATAAAATAATATTTGATCATTGAAGACGAAATAGATTTCAAGCAATAATTAGGCAGTCTAGTGTTGTTTCATAACTATATAAAGTTGCCTAAATACTACTTAATTTAAAATCCATTTAAAACATAACGTTTATACTATTCATGCATAAATACGATTATAACTAAAATTAGCCAAGTTTACTATTACAGTAGTTTACTATTACAGACCATTTTAAAATAAATTCAATAAAACATATATCAGGTGTAATGTACATACCACTAATAAGTCAAAGATAGGATGTCTTATTGCTTTTTTAGGTAGGTTTCACTTCCAAAAGATGCTCAGAAAGCTCCACACTTCACGTCATTTTCTATATTCGAACATACGCATGAAAATCATCACGCGCTAAGTAAAACTTAGTGAGACAGTAATATAATTAAAGTGATATAAAACATAAATTCCATAAAGTATAAAACATAAAAATGTAATTTAAATAAAAACATTAAAACTTTCAAACCAAGCTAGTCAAGTCGTTTTCTTCTTGAAAACCTGAAAGGCATCATCTCATGATTTTATCAAAAATCATGCAAATTAACATCAAATATCATAAACAAATCATGTTCTTTTAATTTGAACATATTTCAGAACTTTCATTTCAATTCCATATTCCTTTCTTTCATATTCTTGTCATAACTTTCACATTTACTTTTATAGTACAATGTATATGTAAGAGAATATAATGTACGTGAGTCAGACGAGTGTACGCAATAATCACTTTAGTGCTATCATCGTAATCCGAATATGCACTCCAAGTTCATTCATATCACTTGCACCAACAGTGCTACACAAAATGTACACAAATGTATCAGATCATAAGCATCATCATAATCACTCCACCTCATGGCATGTCAATTGTACCTACGACTCTCAATGCAACATACAATGGGTTTTCAAATTATATCTTATTCGTTTCATAATCAATATTTCAACTCAGAATCATTTTCCAATCATTCTCATAAAAATCATAATTTGGGTAGTTCATACCCTAAACATTCATAAGACTTTATATAAATATTATGAAAACAATTCGTACTTAAAATAGAAAACATACTTTAAATAATACAAAGTTGACTTATCACAAGTCGTCCTCAATCAAAGTAGCTAAATAAATAAATAAACTGAATTCACTTTGATACTTTATTAATAAATCAAAATATAAGAATCTCTAAGCTTTAAAATTAATCATTTGTTTTCAAATGTTTTAACTACACAATTTATCAAAATTTCATATTACGACAGTTTGTACTACATTCAAAGAAATATTATTCTGTATTAATATACATACTTAAAAATTATTTTGTTCATACCACCGAAAACTAGACTCGAATACGAATCAACCATATAAGTCACTCCATCTAGTTCTACTTGTACAATTTATAGTAAACTTTCGAAATTGACTTACAAAGCTGTTTTGAACATATTTTGCTGCTCTGTTTTCTGACATATCATCGATTAAAATTCATATATCTTTGAACACTACTCAAAATCATTAGCCGTTTATTTTAAATAAAACTAAATTGATATACGAATTCATCGGTATAAATATCATCATCTAATCATTTTCGTATAATTTATAGTGATTTTCTAAACTTACTGTTCAAATCTTGAATTCTAGGCACTTTCCTCAATTAACTTCCTTAACTCATTCCATACTTCTATTACTTACCGAATGAACATATAGGTTTGAATCACAATTCACATAACATTAGGAGTCACTTATTAATGTATTAACTCCGACATTGGCTCATCGCAAGCCAATGTTTGTTTGATAACATAAATACAAATTAAATGCACTCACCTTGCCTTATTATCGAACCTTCTCCACGATAATCTTCTCAATCCCGCATCTTTTCCTTCCCTTTTTTAGTTACTTGGATCACTAGATTTATCATGGTTTGACGACATTATATAATAACATCAAATATTAAATTATATGTTAGTATCAAACTAATAAAATCTAAGCTTAAATATTAATTCAATAGAAACAAAAATCGATACTTAAATCAATATAAAACTAAATCATATTTTTCATCAAAATTTCAAATTTCTCAAAATGCTTATTCGATCTCATAAATATTTATTTCCACTATCAGCCCTTCAACTTACGCCAAATACACAATCAATCCATTAATTATGAATTATTTCTAAAATTCACCTTATATTTTCCATTAAATTCATAATGATCATTCACTATGATCATTGCACTTTAATTTCTAAAATTTCAAGAACCTTAATAAAATTTCCAAATCAACACTTTAGCATTCAAAAACTTGCAATTCCATCCCAAAGCTTCTTAGACTTTTCGAATTTAACCATCCATCTATATAAACTTGTAATTTGATCCCAACTCAATAATTTTAACTCAGGAATCAGCATGCTATTAAAATTTCCAGAATTGTTCTATTTTACCCAAATGATACTTTAACATTTAATAAACTTGCAATTGAGTCCCTAAAATATCAAGACCTTTTGAATTCCACCCTCAAAATTTACCAATTTGTAATTTGGTTCCATCCATCTTTCTAACTTAGAAATTCCTGCATTTCAACATTAAACTTCAACATTGAACACCCCAAATTAACACACTTATGCAATAATGTCCCACAATTCTCAAAACTTGGAAAATAATCCTTTTCCTATTTCAAGCTTCCAAATTGACCTCCAAATCACATTAGAACACATCTAATATCAATAATAGACCATAGGAAAATTTTCCATATTTTCCCCTATGGCCGAAAATCATAAAGTAACTAGGGTAAACTTTCCATTCAATTTCAAGCATGAATTCAACCTCCTAACATTAAATTCATGATATTTCAATCATCACAACATCAAAAATCAAAATTCAATCAACTCTATAAACCCTAACCATGGCCTAACATGATTTAAGCTTCTACACTTGATTTTAATCATCACTCATGCTTTAGAAATATTCAACAACTTTAATAACATAAAAATCTTCCCTCAAATCTTCAAAATCAAACATGTTCTTCAACCACCCAATTCATGAATCTCAACATCTAAGCATCATTTCCATAAAAAAAAATTATACCAAATGATAGAGAATTTCAAGAGGATTAATTCTCTATCTAATAGCTTAGTCCAAAAATCAACCATAAAGCTTTGAAAATCAAAATAAAATTCTCACCTATTTGGCTATGGAGCTCACGACAATTGCTTGGGGAAGATGATGATTTTTTCTTGATTTTTATCAAGAAATTATAATTTAAAACACTTGGTGCTTTCTAATAAAGTTGAATTTAAAATTCAATTTATGAGAAATTCTAATTTCACCCTTAATAAATTATGATAATTATCAATTGACATTGAAATATCTCCCATTAAAATATACCATAGTCAAAGATGAACCAATTTGGCTTTGACTTTCTACTTTAGCCATACAATTTTTGAAAATTGCATTTTAGTCACTAAATCCCACTGTTCGACCAAAACTGAAAATTTGACTTCAATTCCATTGATTCATACTAAATTTCACTAATCTGAAATATGGACATGATATTTCGAACCCTTATCTAACATCCTTCAATTTTTGTGAAATTCCAGTTCGATCCGATTATCAAATTTCTATACAAGACTTTATCGATTTATAGCTTTTAATACAAATCCCGTATAGAAAATCTGATTATCACGAAAATTCTTGTTTTAGGCAAAATTGTTCATTTACGGCTAAAATATATAACTTTTTAAAATTACATTTTTGGTCTCCTAAACTTTGACAAAGTTTATACTTTAGCCACCAAACTTTTAAAACTTATAAAATTTGGGGTATTACAGGTAGCATAGCAAGAATAACGGAAGCACACATGTGTGAAATCAATGTTGTCGAAAGATGGTAGTAGCACCCCAACAAGATATAACACACCAGTTTATTACCGAGAAAAAGTGAAAGATGA